CCCGGCGGGCGCCACGCCACGGCCCACCGCGGGGAGCGGCCTCGCGCGGCGAAGTGAGTGGCTCCTCTGGGAGCCTGAGCCCTGAGGGCGGGACGGGAAACGGGAGCTCACGGAGCAAAACCCGGAGACGGCCCAGTGATGGAGGGGAGGGCTTCTGTTTTCTGAAACTGCCACGAGATACCCCTACCGTGATGTTGATCATTTTAACCGTTCGTAAGTGGCGTTAAATACAGTCATGATGTTGTGTAACTGTCACCACTGTCTATGCCCCCGCCTCTCAGGTCGCCCCGGGCAGACTCTCTGTGCCTGCTAAGCCGTGCCCCCCTCCCCCGCCCTGGCACCCATCCGCCCCCCGTCCTGAGTCTGACTCCTCCCGGGACCTCACGCGAGCAGAATCACGCTGTATTTGTCCTTCTGAGTCTGGCCTGCTTGGCTCAGCACAGTGTTTTCAAGGTGTGCCCCTGCTGTAGCCTGGGTCAGATTTTATTTCTTAGGGCTCGGTGACATTCCTCTGCGCAGGCAGACTACCTCTTGTTTGGCCCTCACCCCTCCAAGGGCTCTCGGGCCCTTCCACCTTTCTGGCCTCGTGACTCGTGCTGCTGCGGATGAGGGCGCACAGGCGTCCGTCGGCATCCCTGTTTCCGCTCGCCGGGCGCGTCCCTGGGGCAGAGCTGCTCGGTCGGGTGGCATTCCTCTGTCTGACTGTGTGAGGAACTGCCAGCGGTTTGCCACAGCGGCCGCACCGTTTTACACTCCCACCGGCGTCCCCACTTCCTCACCAGTGCTTGTGATTCTCCATTTTTTTGTTTTGTTGTTAATTATAGCCATCCTTTGGGAAGGACTTCTTAAATGAAACTTTAAAAGTGTATACCATAAGGCTAAAATACGGACGACTTAAATATCTGGCCCATAATGTGGTATTTGTCATAATTGTCACATGTACGAATACTTGGGGGAAATTCCTGCCGTTGCTCACGTGGGAACGCCTGAGGGCGCTTGGTCCCGACTTGCTTGTGGGGACCTTGGAGTTGTTCTTATTCTCAGATGATGCTTTTGTTTGTTTTTGTTTCCTTTTGCCTCAAAACTAATTCCATGCATGTTCCCAGGTGGCTAAACTTTGGACAGTGTCAACACCAAAAAGAGCACTGTTGTAACTGGTTAGAACACACGCGCCTGGTAGAGAATCGCAGCCTCGCCCTCGGGGGGAGAGAGAAGGAGGTTTCCTCTTGTTTGCATCAGAAACGAGAAAATGCCGTCTTCTAACCTTAAAGGTGGAAGCAAAGACCGCGTACATAAGCTGACACCCCTGGATGAAGGTGTTAGGGAGCCCACGGGTCATTTGATACCAGAATATCACCCCACGGGTTACCTATTACATACCGGGGAACGTACGCATCCTTACAATGAGGGACCGATGGCTTGCCACCCTGACCCAGTCACAGTTAGCGTCACTGAGCAAGGGTAACACCACACCCACCCCCAGCTGCCTCAGCTGAAGGCACACAGCATCACCCGGGGGGTGTTTTTGCCAAAAATGTTTAGCCACGCTCGTGCACAGACCTAATCTCGGCTTATAAGAAAAACAGGAGTTACAGCAACAGCAAAGCAGCGGTGAGACACACCCAGACACTGTAAGAAAACCGCCCTGGACTTGCCCAAAAGTCCGCGGAAAGCACGGGGGTGGAGGGAGGACATGGGAGCAATCTATTCTAGAAGCGAAATGAATGAAGAAATACAACAACCAAATATAATGGGTGAACCTTGACTAACTGCTAGGTTGGAAAAAATAAGAGCTGTAAGTGACACGGTTGGGGGGCCAGATCTGAGTAGGAATTGGACATTAGATGAGGTTGTGGAATGATGGTTTAGGGGCGACAGGCGTGTCAGGGTTACACAGAGTGTCCTTTTCTTAGGAGACGCAAACGCACCTGAGGGTCAAGTGTCACGCTGTCGACAATTTGTCGTCAGATTTTTGTCTGAAATGTGTGTATGTGTGGGGAGATAGAGGGAACGTATCAAATGTAAACAGTCGTTGAATCCAGGTCGGGGATTTAGGGCTGATCATTAAAACTACTCTTTCAGCTTTCGTATAGGTTTGAAAATTTTTGTGATGAAAGTTTGGGCAGAAGTATTAATGTCTAACTGTCTTGCATTCCACGTTCTCCAGAATCTAATTCCTGCCTCTGAAAACTTTCGTTTCTCTGTCTTGCAGTTCGAGACCGAGTCAGGTCGAAGATGGAGAGAGACATCTTGGCAGAAGTGAATCACCCGTTCATTGTGAAGCTTCATTATGGTAAATGGAGTTTTTTAAAAATGGCCTACTTTTGAGAAGACCTAGAGCGACCCGCCCCCAAATCAGAGGAAATTGGAAGAACAGTAAGAGGCCCCTCCTGGTCTCAGCACCACCCTGTCTGGGGTGGGCTGTCCCCCAGCGCCTTAGTCTCTTGGCTGCTGCTTCTCTGATGGAGGGAGGTGCCCTGTTTCCATCTCGAAGACCTAGTCTGAGAGAGTGAGAAGTTACCGTTCATTAAATCATCACTGATAAAATGGTTAAAAAAAAGTCTCAACCTGGATGAATCTACACCATATTTTTGTGTTGTTTCAGCACAAAATGCTTGTGACCCGGTGGTTCCTCTAAACCAGAGTGACGACACTACCTGCGTCTTAAGTGAAAACTATGTTTCAGGCATTTTAGAGATGGTAGCTCTTTGAGCCCCAAAACGCCCTTTCCAGGTAGATGATCATTTCCAGTTTTCAAAGAGAAAACTGAGACTCCGATGGGCTAGTTCTGATTTCTGAGGCCGCGGATCTGCGGTGCCCGGTGATGCCTCAGCTTCCTGCCACGTCATCCCCTCTGAGAAGCAGCAGTGAGATCTTGAAGTTAGAGATAGTGAGGTGGTGATCCGGAGTCACGCCCGACTGCGGGCGAGTCAGCCGTGCGACTTGAGTGATGAACACGGGGGGAGCACAGAGCCGAACCAGAACCGACCCGGTGCCTGTGGGTCTGGAGACTCTGGGCTGGGCGGAGCCGGGGGAGGCTGGCCGTTACGTGTACACAGACCGGAGTGAACACACGCCCAGAGGCTGGAGGGCAGAGCTCTTTGCTGGTGAACTTTTTTTTAATGCTTTTTTGTTGTTTGTTTTTTAATGGAGGGACTGGATCTTGTGCACGCTAAGCATGTGCTTTACCACTGAGCTACACCCTCCCCGCCGAGAACCTCTGCTGTTATTAAGAGCACAATTTAGAAGGTCTTTAGAAAGTACGTGGCCTACCCTTTCAAAAACAGTAGCTGCCAACTGGGATGCGAGCTCGCCGGCTGGCGGCTGGTGACGGACGCCCCCACCCGGTCCCCCAGTCCCCGGCCTCGGACAGGGGCCCTCAGATCCCGGTCGGGGGAGGTGCTGCCTTCCCTCTCATGCTGCTGCCACTACCCTGCTGATGTGCTGATGTCAGATCCTGTCCCATCTGCCATTTCGACGGGTTTCCAGGGCATTTTTCTGAAGGATCTATGAGCCGGGGTCTTGCAGAGATGTCTAAACGCATTGCCGCGTTACCTCTGTGATGGATCAGAAGACACTTGTTCTCCAAATGCCGTGGAGCCCTCGGTCAGAGCGGCAGTCCAGGCTGCAGAGGGGTTTCTAGCTAGAGGCTCACCTTCCCCAAACCCCAACATTTATCCTGCTTTTAGTAATTTACTTTTTTTTAGAAAAGGAAAAGTTTCCAAGGGTGTGGGGTGTCGGGACCCCCCCCAGCCGTATTTCCTGGGTGTACAAAACAGATGCCAGACGAGAGACCAGCAGCAGCAGCGCTGACCATCCAGTAGTGACGTGGTCAGCTTCTCCTGGCCCTCGTGCGCACGCGGCCCCCTTCGACGGAGCCGCGCGCTGGTGGTGGGGACCAGTGCTGGGACATGAGCCACCGCCCGTGGCAGTGGCACACAGTGACCAAACCTAAACAGGAGCCCCATTGCCACGAGGCGCAGGGAGCCGGGCTGCTGGTCACCCTGGTCACCAACGTGGCGTAAAAGAAGGAGCACGTGGTGGACGACCGTGAGCCCCGAGTGCTGCAGATGCAGCTCCAGAGGAAGGGAGGGAGACCCGTCCACCGCCGGCCCCATCGCCCCGCTCCTCCCCAGGCACCTCACAGCGCAGCCGCCTCTCCAACGAGACGTGTCGTCCCCAAAGCCCGGTGTTAGCGGTGGTGGCGGTGAGAGCAAGTGGGGAGGTTCAGACCCGGTTCTCAGGGGCCTCTCCGTCCCCTTTGTGATTAAAGATGGAAGGAACGAGGGAGGGAGGGAGGAGAAATAATCTCCAGCTCTTTTTCTTTTCTGTCTTTGTTGTTGTTTTGCTGTTGAGCTGTGTGGGGTTTACATGTTTTGCATGTTAATCCTTTCTTAGATATTGACACATTTTTTCCCATGACATAGTTCACCTGTTTTGTTGATGGTATACTTTGCAGTGCAGAAGCTTTTTATTTTATTTTATTTTATGTTATTTTATGTTAAGTTATTTTTAGAGTTGTTTTTTTTTAATGGAGGTCTTGGGGATTGAACCCAGGACCTCATGCATGCCAGGAACAGGCTTTACCACAGAGCTCTACACCCCCGTCCCGCCCACTCCAGACCCTTAATAAAAGTGAAAGGGACAGAACTCATCACTGCGGCTCCCTTTCCCCGAGTTTGGCCCCAGGAAGCCACCTCCAGCCTGGCCTCAGTCCTGTTTGTGGAATGACCCAGCATTACAGATTACACGGTGTTGTTTGAGCCAAAGAGGGAGGGCCTCTTTGCACTGTCTGGGCCCAAGGGAGTGACCCCCACCCCAGGGGACCTCAGTGCTGAACTGCTCAACTCTCCTTCTGCAGCCTTCCAGACAGAGGGAAAGCTCTACCTGATTCTGGACTTCCTGCGCGGAGGGGACCTCTTCACCAGGCTCTCCAAAGAGGTAAATAAGGGGTATGGGTTTCTGCCTAGAATTCAAGGGACAAAGAGGGACAGGAGAGCCCCGGGGAGGGATGGGGGTATGTGTGCATGCACTTGCGTGTGTGCACTGGAATGTGTGTGTGGTGTCTGTGTGCATGATGTGTGAGTCTGTGTACCTGCGTGTGTGTGTGGTGGGGATATTGGGGGTATATGGTGTGTGTGTTTGGTGTGGGGAGTATATAGTGTTGTGTATGTGTGTGTACTTGTTTTAAAGAAGTCTCTCACAAGATGCACAGAGAAGAAATCTGTTGTCCTTGGAAGACCTTAAGAAAACGGACCCTCCCCCAGACCCCCGTGGAGCTCTGGACCTGCCGCCGCCCTCTGTTTCCTACTCTGTGCCAAGCGGATGGAACAGAAGGTTGGCTCCTGGTGATGGCAGGGAAGATGATTTCTCAACATCTCAATTTCCATCATAGGAAGATGCTTTTAATACGCTGACCGCTCGTCCTGGGAGATGTGTCAGACAATCCAGTTAGGCCTTCACATATGACATCTCCATGACCCCCAGCCACTTCACAGCCCCAGGGTTTATCCTTGTTTTGTTTGTTTTACGAGGGGGAGGTAATTAGGTTTATTCATTGATTTCTGCTTGGAGGAGGTGCTGGGACTGAACCCGGGACCTCTAGCGTGCTGAGCATGCGCTCTACCACGTGAGCTATACCCTCCCCCCTGAGGGTTTATCCTTGACCCCCCCAGTACCTGACCCAGGAACTTTCCAGAATGTCACAAAGCACGATGTGACAGCTGTCTGGCCCCTGATTCATGGGATGGAAAACCAGCCTCTGCTGAGGGCAGTGATAGCACTGGGGTTTAGTCCTGATGACTGCGTGCAGTGCTCCTTTATAAGAACCAAGGATGACAAAGGTGACAGCAAGGTAACACAGTGCACAGAACAGGGTTCCGATCCTTCTGACACAGCAATACTCCAGCACCACTGTTTTCCTTGGACTCTTAACAGTGGGGACAAGCTGCCCGCCCCCTTTCCCTGTCGCCCACTCTTACAGCAAGAGATCCTTCCATCCTGTGTGGAACTCCGGAGTGAACAGTCAGTCAAGGTGGAGCAGGAGCGGGACCCCCGGGACCTCGGGCAATGGCACCAGTGATGTCTTGGGCTTTTGCAATGTAGGTTGAAAACATGGGCTGGAAGAATCAGAACCAGGTTCTCCAAAAAGCCCTTTGGAGTCAGGTGTCTGGTCCCGCGACCTGCCTCCCAGCTGCGCTCACGTTTCTAGAGATGCCGAATCACTGACATCGGCCAGCGTCTCGTCTGACCCTGTTGTTTCGCCCCCTCCCCGCCTCGCCCGTCCCGACAGAAAGTCACGCCATTGGTTTGTCCAGCATCAGGAAGACACACCCCGTTGTGGGTTTCTTGACCAAAAAGGCAGCAATAATTAGCAAAAAGCCCTGTAACACCTCAGAATGGGAACACGTGTCTCCCATAAGACCCTTTATTTCAGAGGAAAAGTAAAGTTGTCCATCGTGGGCTCGACAGCGTCTTGGAGCCCATGGAAACATGGAAAGTATTTTCCTTTGGTTCCCTTTTCAGCAAGTCTTTTGGACGACATCCTTGTGTGTGTTGGTCAGCGTACCAGCTGCCTGGGAGAACTCATGGCCGGGGGTGTTTCATTCCCGTGGAGAAACTATTTGTCACTTGCACGTGGGGGCCACACAGAGACGTGCCCTAAATAAGGGACGAGGACAGAAACAGCCTGCTCTGAGCAGCCAGCTGCAGCCGCTGCCGTCGTGGTGACGTGCGGGACAGGCAGCGTCAGGTGGAAGAGAATTCGTCAGCCAGTGGGGCTGGGCTGCAGGGAAGCCCACTGAGCTTGTTGGCCAGTTTAGAAAAGAAACACCAGCGAGGAAAGGTGCCGGCTGAGCGTGGAAGACAGAACAGGAGGCCCCAGAGGCTGGAGGGGCAGTGAGGGTTGGCAGCACCCAGATGCCTCTGTCCAGGTTCTGGAAGGGGGTCGTCCTGGCTCCACGGAAGCGTCCCTTTGTGAGAGTGATGTGCGCCATCTGCATTTTTCACCGTTCAGTCCCCGAACGGCCCTTACTCTAGCTATGACCTTACCGGGCAAGCTTATGATTGTGTATTGATTTTTCCTATGTCTGCCTTCAGAGAGAAGTCAGTAATGTCACAGATTTCTAGTCTCTGTGATATTGATTTCTCAAGGTGAAGGTAAAAAAAAAATGGTTTCTGATACCATCTGGCTTCCTAGCAAGGTGACTGCAAGATTTACGTGCTGCTGCTGGTTCTCACCACCACCAGGGCGGGGAGCATCAGGGAGACCGTAACCGTAAGGTGCGCTGGGCACCGAGGCCGCGTGTGTGTTTCAATTCCTCTGGTGAATCAGGGTGCCTCTCCCACCAGCCTCCTGGGCGGGAGTCGCTGCCGACTCCACACGAGTGTGCTGTGTTTGGGAGAGCACATCTCACTTTGGGCAGACAGGTGGCTGGTCTGCCCAAACCCCAGGGGTGAGGATGTGATGTGGAGGGAGGAGGAGTGAGGCTGGAGACGTGTTTTCAGCAGAGGCTTTGGCGTGGCTTGGCTGCGCGTGTCAGAGTGGTACATCGGAAGCGCTCGTGTTAGAACACTCGCCCGGGTCTGCACTCCAGAGCGGCGTGGTCTGTGGGCGACGCGGGCGGGGAGGGAACTCGGCCACGCGCTCCGCCCGCGAGGCCCAGTAAGTCGTCTTTGTGGGGCATCTCCTCCCCGTCACTGGTCCTAAAACTACAAGGAGAACTCAAGTTCCCTTCACAGGAGCCGGAGGAGGCTTGTCGGGAGCCGCCGTCTGCAGAGCAGAGCTGAGCTGAGGCTGCGCTTGGCGGGGCCGAGTCCCTGGCGGCCACAGGGCAGGCTGAGGTCTGGTTCTCTCTCCTGCCAGGTGATGTTCACCGAGGAGGACGTCAAGTTCTACCTGGCTGAGCTGGCCTTGGCTTTAGACCACCTGCATGGTCTGGGGATCATCTACAGAGACCTGAAGCCAGAGAAGTGAGTGAGGCCAGGCCAGGCCCGGCCCTCCACACCCTCTCCTTGCTGTCCATGTGACATCAGTTCCCTAGGGAGTGCACACCTGGCGGGGGGCTGGGCACCCCCTATGCAGGGACCCTGAGCAGGCTTTGCAGAGCCTACCTCCCGGCCTCTGAAAAGGTGCCCAGACACAGGTTTGTGCAGGATGGTCCCCACCCATCCTCACCTGACCCTCACCACACTCTTGGAGGGAGCAGGGCCCAGCCCAGGTCCCCGTGGTCCAGCCCACTGCCCCCCCCTTAGGGGAGACCCACCCTGCCACTGGGGATGGTCCAGATACGGCCACCTCCTCCCTCATTCGTGTCTTCTGGGTCGATCTCTTCCCCTCCTCCGCCTCCAGATTTGGGAAACCCTTCCAGCTGCTTCAGCTGGCCCATTTCTAGGTGACAAGTCAGATGAGCTTTTCTGAGTTTTTCTAAAAGACAGCAGCACAGACCGCCAGCCCAAACTCCAAGAAGATTCCTGTATCTTTGGCAATAGTCACCCGTGACGTTATTTCTAGGATAGTTTGCTCACTGCTCTAAACTGAGGAGCTGAAAGCCCCTCCAGATCACAGGGTCCTTGTTTCAGGCTTTCCCTGCTGCTTCCTGCGTGGAGCTGCCACGCAAGCCGGAGCCACGCGCCTGGAAAGGCGGGACTAGTGGGCGCTGTTCCAGACTCGTTGGGCCGACCCGACTGCGGCCCCTGAGGCGAGGCCCCTGCCCATCCCACTCACTTAGTTCACAGCCCAGGAGGAGGCCGATACCACCCCCTAGACTGAGGTCCACACCTGCCCCTGGGCCGGGGGAGCCCGAGGACACAGGAAGTGGCTCTCGGCCCTTGCCCCTGGTCCTTTACTGTCACCTGCACTGAACTGAGAAAAACACTCTTCTCTGAAGCAGATTTCATTAAGATGCGACAGGCGTGGTCGGGAACCGCTGGGTTCGGCCAGAATCCAGGAACCTTGTGTACGTTTGTGAAGCAAAGGGCTTTTGCCTGTGAGCAGAGGGGAGCACTCCTCGTGCTTGGCTTCAGCTTGACCGCCTGTGGCGTAGCGCGTCTCCGGCTGCACACAGAAGCGGGTGTTTCCGTAACCCTGAAAGGCCCTCTCCTGCGCGTCCCTGCCGAGCCCACTCCAAAGCCGGCCTGGCCACGTGCTCCCCGCCGCCATGAGCCCTGGGCAGCCCTGAAGGCAGCACCCTGCTTCCCCTCCAGTTAAAGTCACAGGGACCTTGACAGCTAAGAACAGTGACACGTAACTGCAGGGCTGAAGAGAGAGGGTTTTGTTAGGAGGGAACTCACTTTGAAAGTGGCTCACCTCTACGAGGGGGAGGGTACAGCTCAGTGGTAGAGCGTGTGCTCAGCGTGCACAAGGTCCTGGGTTCAATCCCCAGTACCTCCTCTAGAGAAAAGTAACAATAATTAATTAAAAAATAAACAGACCTAATTACCCCTCCTCCCGCCAAAAAAAATGAAAGTGGCTCACTTCTGGGCAAAGATTAAGCATAACTGAAAAGCGAAGAAAAAAATTTGCTTCTTTCATTAGAAATTGTCAACTTAATTATATGCTGTAATTTTTTCCTTTCCATTTCCATGAAATAGTGTGTATTGTTTTTAATTCCATGGGAGATGTTTTAAATTGCAGTAAGGTAAACATAACCTAAAATTTACCATCTTTACCATTAAAAAAATTTTTTTTCTTTTGTTTTCCCTTTGGTTTGTTTGTTTGTTGGAGAGGGGAGGGGGTAATTAGGTTTATTTATTTATTTATTTTTTTGCTGGAGGAGCTGGGGATTGAACCCAGGACCTTGTGCATGCTAAGCACACACTCCACCACTGAGCTCTACCCTCCCCACCTGCACCCTTTTTAAGTGCACAGTTTCGTAGTGTCACGAGCATTCACACTGCTGTGCAGACATCACCACCGTCCATCCCAACTCCCAGCCCTCTCTCCCGTCCCTGGCATCCTCCCTTCTACTTCCTGTGTCTGGATTTCGCTGCTCTAGAGCCTCCTGTAAGTGGGGTCACACAGTATTTGTCCTTCTGTGACGGACCTCTTGCACTCGGCATGGTGTCCACGAGGTCCATCGTGTGGTGGCCTGTGTCAGAACTTCCGTCCTTTCGCAGATGTTTTTAAGGGACCACCTATGAATCCTCGAAGCCCACTTCCTGGTCTGTTTAGAGCTGGGCTGGGACCTCCTAGGAGTTGGTGGATCAGGGTTTCATTGCAGCAAAGAAAGAAGCAGGGAGGGCCCTGGGGACCCACGGGCTGACAGCCGGAGCCTTCTGTAAAGACTGTCCCTCCGCCCTCCCCCTAACTCCAGAGGGCTGGGGAGAGCAGGACCAGTGCCCCCTGTGGGACGTCCAGATGTCAGATGCTGGTGTGGTGAGGGCTTGGACCAGGGGACGAGGCGGGGACCCAGTGGGACCAGATCTTACAGCATGGCTCCCTGATGCTGAGGTCTGAGGTGTCACGATCTCCCGCAGAGCCGGGAGGGGGGCTCATGGGGAGATATGGGGAGAAGGGGATGAGATCTGGCCATCAGGGGCCTGCCTGGGTTCAGAAAAATCTCCTCTGAGAGGCTCTGAGTCCACAGGCCAGGGCGGTCCTGGACCCTCTCAGTCCTGTTCCTCACACAGGATAGACAGGCTGGAAGGTCCCCAGACTCTCCCCATGGGCTCATGAAGCCCCAGAGTTTGCAGGTGAACCAGGCACAGGGACACAGGGTGCCACTCTGTGTCCCACATACTATGGGTCTGGGGCGCCCCTGACCCAGGAAAGCAGTGACCTGAGAGCCCCGTCTGCGATTGGCAGGCCCCGGCATGGAGACCACTGCCCGGGGTCCACGTGCCCTTCAGCATGCACATCTCCCTTAAAGCATCTGTTTTCTTCCCCTTTCTTTCAGCATCCTGCTGGACGAAGAGGGACACATTAAGATCACAGGTTTGTAAAAGCCCCCCGCCTTCATCCCAGCCCTGCTGCATCGGGGAGCCCCCCACAGCCAAAGCCCTCTGGTCGCAGCAGCACGTGCAGGCGCACGTCTGCCGGGGCCGCCTTCTCCGTGGCTGTGGCTCAGGCCTGTCAGTGTGTGTCCTCCCAGCACCGAGCCCATCTGTCCCTCCTTCCTTCGCTCCTCTGACCTAAGACCCTTCTAGTATGTTCAATTCAGGAACCTCCATGCATAGCCCCATCTTAGTGCGCCTGCAGGGCGATCTCCCCACTGAAACGCCAAGGCCCTCCGGTCAGCCCCAGGTTTGGTCAGACTGAGTGGCCCCAGGTTTGGTCAGACTGAGTGGCCCACCTCGTTCCATGACACCCACTTGGACTAGCTTCCCCTTCCTGCTGCCAGCAGGTACCAGCCTTGGTGGCATAAACCAGAGCAAGCTCGTCCTCTTGCAGTTCTGGTGGCCACGAGTCCAAAACCGGGCCAGCGGGGCAGAAATCAGAGGGGCTGAGCTCCTTGGTGGAGACTCCAGGGATTGTCAGTCGCCCTCCAGCCGCCCACTGCCCTTGCCTCCCAGCCCTGTCCTTTGTCTTCAGAGCTGCAGGACAGCACCCTGGTCTCTCTCTGACTATGGCCCCTGCCCCAGATCCATTTAAGAGCCTGGGTTTTATTGTCCTTCATCCTGGTGACCCGGGGTGACTCCCATCTCAAGATTCTGACCTAGTCACACCTGTGGGGCTTTTTTGCCAGGTATGGTGATCAATTCACAGGTCCTGGGATTTGGGGCATGGATGTCTCTGGGAGCTGTTGGGCTGGCCACCCCGCTGAGCTGGTCCTGGCCTCATCTCCACACACACTTGCTCCCCGTGTCCACCAGCTGGCCGTCCCCGAGCTGACGCTCCCTCCTCACTTCCACTGAGGCCGGTCCCTGCTCTGGTCGGGGGCATTTGGTCCATCCCATTCTGTCCTTGCTCTAAGGCCCCACACGGTCTCCCTGCCGCCCAGTTACTTGTCTGCACTGCTTCGCCCCCGGGGCCCGTTCCCCCTGCTCTTGCTGGACGCCCAGTACCCAGCAGAGAGCACAGAGAGCTGAAAATAACTGCCCATTAAATATTTTTTAATGCTTGTTCATGTTGAACAATTAGACTTAAAGTTTCTCATGACTTGGGCACGAGAGCGTGGCACTCTTGACAGGTCTTTCAGACCCTGCCCTCCTGGCACCTGCAGGTCAGCTGGTGGGAGCAGCCCCCCAACACTGAGTCCAGTTCGACCTGTTCTTGGCGCCTTCCGTGCCCCCCACACCGAGCAGCAGAAGAAGTTAACCCCTAACTAGCTGAGAAATTAAACTTAACTCCTACAGCTGGTCAGGGCTGTTCGGAAGTGCCCGTGTGGCACTTGGTGGAGATTTAAGGTCCTGCGTACACTGGACAGGTGTTCCCTGCCGTGTGAGGGATGGGGCACGTGTTGCAGAAGTTCACGTGTGCAGCGGCAGCTGGAACACGCGTGAGCAAGCACACACGTTTACCTGCAGCATTGCAGGCTTTAACTTTCTCTGATTTCATAGTCACGGCCTCTGCCATTGGTCAGTGACCCCACGTGAGTCATTTGTAATCATTTGTCACTTTGGCCCGGCACAAGTCACAGACCACGCCCCGGGACGCTGAGGTGCAGCGCCTGTCACCTGGGCAGGGCTGAGCAGACCACGGCGGGTGTGGGGTGCTCCCTCGGAGCTGTGAGCCCACGTCCTCCTCCTGTGGCCCAGGGGAAGTGATGTCACCCTTGACTTCACAGACGATGAAACTGGAGGGGGACTGTCATCTTAGAACTGTCGTGGCCGCTGCGCCCTTTACCCACTAGCAGTTGGACGAGCATTGGAGGAAGGTGGCATCGTCTGACCATCCCTGGAGGAGGTCGGGGGGAGGGTGTCCCACAGCAAATGACTTGTCTGTCTTCCCCTTCGTGCCTCACCAGCCAGCGACCACCTTCCCAAGTAGTGTTCTGCCCAAAACCTCTTTCCCGACCTTTGCTCTGGAACAAGCGCCTTCCTCTGTGCCCATCAGAGAAGCCTGGCAGGCTTCTCTCCGGCGGGGCCGTGCCCGGCAGCATCAGGGCCCCGCGTCGCCGCTGTGCCCACTGGAAACGGGCTCGGGGTAACTCGTGTCGATCACTCAGAGGTGCGGTGTCCTGGTCCCCTCTGGGGATCTCCTGAATGTGCAGGTTCCTCTGGGGAAGGGCCGGGTTTGGTGCAGGCTGTGCAGGCAGCGCGGCCCCAGGAGGGTCTGCTTAACCCAGATGGCAGCCGGGGGAGGGCTGGCCGGGCAGGCGGGAGTCTGAGCACCACGTGGAGACTGATGTGTCGTGTGCTGTGTTTGCCTTTAGATTTTGGGCTGAGTAAGGAGGCCATCGACCATGACAAGAGAGCGTACTCGTTCTGCGGGACCATTGAGTACATGGCGCCCGAGGTGGTGAACCGGCGGGGCCACACGCAAAGCGCGGACTGGTGGTCCTTCGGCGTGCTCATGGTACGGCACCACGGGCCTGTGGTCGGGAGACCCCGGGGTGACAGTGCCCACTGTGTGACTCGGGAGTGGGAGAGGCCCCCCACCCCTGACCAGAACCCCTGGAAACTCCCTCCTCGGTCCTCCCGGAACTCCCACTGTCAGGAAACAGCTGGGATTCAAATAAGGATGCCAAGGTGCTGAGTCAAACTTTTCTTATACTTAAAGCTCTTAGGGCTTAGGGTGAGGATTTTAAGGGACGCAGCCATTTCCACATTAAGGATGTTCTTCTTCTTTCAAACACAGAGTCCCTCCACACAGTCGCCAAAACCACCATGAGCCCAGACACCCGTGGAATTAGTTAAACATTTTTACATTGATATCTAGAAACTTGAATTTTCTTTGGATCGTGGGTTCACGATCCAGAGAGCAAGTGACAAATGCTGTCTAGACCAGGGCATTCCACATCATCATGGAAATGGCGTCACTGCCGCACCCCGTCCCCAGATGGCCCTGCCTCTCCGCCGTCCATCCCTCCCTCCCCGTCGCTCTGCCGTCCTCCCCACCGGCACTGTGCCCGTGGCCCCTCCACGCTCGCCATGCCCTCGGCACGGACCAGACTTCTGATGCTGCGGAGTCTGACATCGGTTAGGAGTGAGATCGTGGCATTTCCAGGCTGTCCAACCCCCTCCACCTTGGGTATTTCACGGGCGAGGAGACTGAGGCGCCCAGAGTTTAGGTGGACTTGATGGGGGTCGCTCGCCAGCACTGGGCACCACTGTGTGCCTTCCAAGCCTCTGGTCCAGCACACAGGCCTTGTGCCGGGGCCGTGGGGCCTCTGGGCCATGTCCTGCGCCCACGGGCAGGGTGTCTGTCACCTGGGTGACCTGAGACTGATACTCGCAGGCATTGGTCCCTTGGTCTCTAGGTCCTGGTCTGGCCCCATGGGCTCAGCCATGTGGGCTGTGCTGGATTAGTCACAGACGGCCGACCTCTGTCCGTGGGACAGACATACGTCAAACCAGCCCAGAGGTGGCTTCCATGGCTTCCATCAGAACACTGCCCGCGCCCAGGCTTAGCCGGAGATGTTACATCATGCTGGCAGTGCCCCCATCTCCAGGGTCAGCACATTCTCTCCCTGTCACACACCTACAGGGAAAGTCAAATCGGAGTGAGAAAACTGCTCCCAAAACAGAATCCCAACAGATTAAGCAAGTTGATACAGGCAAAGTGAGTGTCCGCAGAGAAGAAGCGCACAACGTGTCAGATGTGAGTGAAGTTCTATTTGGGGCAAAATGAGCACGACAGCCTGGGAGGCAGCGTCTCGGGTGGCTCTGAGGCCCGCTCCCCGGAGCTGGGGGAGGGCAGTGCAGATGCGGTTTCGAGGAGGGGGCCACACAGTCAGGCAGACGGCTGCTGCTGGTCACCAGGAGCAGGTGTCTCCATTAATGATTCTAGTGCTTTTCTAGCTATGAGGAGATGCAAGAATGGGGTCATAAAACCTTCTCCTGAAAGCACCTGTCGGAAGGTCTGTTCTGCCGGTTTTCCCCGAGCACAGAGCGCCTCAGTGCTGCGCTGCGTCCTGCACGCCTTTCAGGGCGTGCGGAGGGTCAGCGACTGCAGTGGCTCCTAATATCTTCCTTGTGGAGGTGGATGGCGAGCGACAGTCTTTTGCTGGCGTGAGTGACACGGGCTGTGACATGAATGTCAGCTGCAGGAGTGCTGGTGACGCTGCCGGTGTCGTGGTTGTTCGGACGTCTCTACACAGGAGACCCCGGAGCTGAGCCCCCTCGGGCCCCCCACCCTGCTTCCCTTCTGATGACAGCTCTCTTTAGATGTTACGAGACGCTGAGGTTAGCTTCTCGCTCTGCGAGGTCACTTTTGCACAGATGGCTCTGCTCCAGTCCCAAATGTACGGTGTCCCTTGTCACCCAGTCTGGAGGGTGTGGAGGGGGGGTGGTTGTGGTGGCCCCCTGCCCTCGTTGCAGATTTTACCAGGAGGTTTGATGTTGCCTTCCTGACTGCGGGTTCCAGGGCCAAGGTTAGAATTCTGCCTTTGCAGGAGCAAGTCCAGGTTTAGCCTTAAGCCTCCACTCCCCTGAGAAGCACGTTCCTCTGGAGGGCGAGGGGGCTCCCTAAGGGGACCCCAGGCTTCCTTCTGTCCCTGGACCCCATCTCTGCACTCACGAAGCCCTCAGAGCTGTAAGCTCACGAGTGACCACATGGCGGTTTTCCAGGGAACGTTTTTTCTGATGCTCTGAAGTCACAAAACGCCACAGTTCTCTCGGTGCAACTGGTGTTTAAAGGAGCAGGAGGCCAGCCTGAGCCCGGAGAGAGGCTATCTTAGCGGCCAGCATGACAGAGAAAAATGCACACATGTCAGAGCTGAGTTAGATTCGTAAGGTTTCCAGGGGAAAGGGGAGCAGGAATGGGGTGTCCTCCCTGTCTGTTTCTGTCTGTATTGAGACAACGGACATAAAATCTGTCCTGTCAACACAAAACAGGCTTTACAGTTTTTTTTCTGGTCAAAATCATTGCATATTAGATACAAACTACTATATAAAATAGATAAACAAGGTCCTATTTATGGCACAGGGAAGTACGTTCAAAGTCTTGTAATAATCTGTACACATCTGCTCCAGGGTGGGGCCCCGAGCAAACCCTGGCTCTTATCAGTTTGCCCTGGAGACTCGGGTCTGTCTGCAGCACCAGAGCAGAACTCTTCCTGTGTGTAATGCCCTGGGGACACTCATCAGGAGTATTCTGATGTATTTTTTCTTTTTTTTAAGTTGAAATATAGTTACTGTACAGTACTGTGTAAGGTACAGGTGTAACTATAGTGATTCACAGTTTTTAAAGGTTAGACTCCATTTATAGTTATTATATAATATTGTTTCATCCCTGTGTTGTACAAAACCTCCTTGCCGCTTAATTTACACAGAATAGTTTGCACCTCTTAATCCCCCAGTGCTGTCTCCCCCCACCCCCCGGCGACCACTAGTTTGTTTCTTATGTCTGTGAGCCTGCTTCTTTTGTGTTACATTCACTAGGTTGTTGTATTTTTTTAGATTTCACATACAAGTAATATCATACAGTATTTGTCTTTCTCTGTCTGACTTATTTCCCCTTAGCATAATGCCCTCCAAGTCAATCCATGTTGCTGCAGGTGGCAAAATTCAGTTCTTTTTTATGACTGAGTAGTATTCCATTGTATAAGTAATATTCTGATTTAACGAGACACTGAAATACTGAGAAATTCCTGAGCAGCTTTACTCGGATCAGCAACCCTGAAAAGCCCTCCTTCCTCCACATCTGGGAAATAACACCTTCGTCACCACCCTCTTCATCATCAAGAAACATTTATTGGATGCCCACGTGTGTCAGTGTGTTGGATGTTAGTAAGTGCGGAGAGAGCTCCCACCGTGGAGTTAGCTTCCTAGGAAGGAACCATTGGAGGAAGGAGGGGACGTGGAGAGAAACACAAAGGGCTTGGATGCTGATAGTTAGAGAGTCAGTCTCAAAGCTACAAAGTAATCACTCAACAAATGGATGCAGGACCTCAGCTGATTCGTGATAAATAGACGACATACCGGTGGCGGGTGGGCACCATCTTTGTAGCAAAGATTAAACAGCGAGAGTCAAGAAACAGCTTTCTTGTTTTGTGCCAGAAAGGTTTTGCAATTACATGAAATTTCATTAATAGCTGACTCAGGAAAGCAGGACGAGAGTAGGAAGAGACTTTTCTTTGTTAGTATGATTCTATTTTAAGAGATACTTTTAATTTGTATGATCAACTCGCAAACTTCCGTCCCGTTTTGTCAGTGAATAGCTCACCTGGCAGTCAGAGCAGCCCCGCCTTTCAGTTTAGTGATGTTTGTCTGCTTTTAGATTCTCTTCTGGACGTTCTTGCTCTCGGGTTTGCCATGTGTTTATTGGCTGCTGCAGCCCGTCCGCTCTGCGGGCCTTCACTTTCGGGGTGTGCACAGGAGGGACACAAATGCTCATGGGGTCCAGTGGCTTCAAACATCTGGACAGGCAGCAACTTTTACATTTCTTCTAAAATTTGCTTTCAGAAAATAGACCAACAACCCTAATAAAGCCTTAAATACATTCATCTCTTTGAGAAAGTCTCACTCCTGGTAGACTGTCAGCAGGATAACTGGAAATCTTAGAAAGACTTTTATGCACATTTCAGTGTGACTGACAATAGCAGAAAATTGAACACATCCTAAGTGTCCAATAATAAACGATTCTACCTTGGCGTATCCGCCTATAGAGTAATACTCGGGAGATTTGATAGTAAGTATTAAGGGCTGTTCTACAAAGTTAGTCTACAAAACTTTATGTTTAAAAAAACAGCTTGAAGAAAGTGCTAGAAGGAATTAACAGACGCTAATTGACCTGTCTTGGATAGCAGGGTTATGAGTGGTGATTGTGGTCTTTGTACCTTGAAGTATTTCCCAAGGTTTTCGTGATGCAGAGGAAAAGCATATCGGAGGATGGATGTTAAAGGGTCAGAGACACATGCAGTGACATCAAGACGAGGGTAAATTTGGAAAGACCGGGTAGACACCCGCCCTGAGGCTGCTGCTTAACATTTAAACTGACATATAGACACTGGGCAGGATCGATGCTTTAGCACATTGCACTTGGATTCAGTGTCTTCTTTTCAAGAAAAAGATTTGCTGTGGCTGCTCCCTAGCTCCTCTCGCCAGAAGGTCAGAAGTGCACGTTGACCCTGCGATGCCCAGCGGTTCCTTCCAGGGCCCCCAAAACCAGGGCTGTCCGTTCGAGAAAGAAATCCGTGCTCTGGCAGGCCTGCCCCCCAATTCCTGTCTTTCTCACAACCTCCGTCCTCGCAGGTGTCCACCTAGTACTGTCGGTGTGCGGCGGCGGGCATTGGCGACGTCCCTGGTGCCGTATTGTTTTTACCAGGTGTGATTAGCAGACTGCAGTCAGGGGCCAGCGACCCGGTGAGCAGTCTGCACCCGCCCTGGGCTGATGCGTAGTAGTGAGCGTTTAGTACCAGTTAGTGGTCCTCTTCCTCCTCCTCGTCCTCGCTCAGCCCCTCCACAGCACCCAGCAGAGAAGGACCGGGTCCTCCATCAGCCGCACGGAAGGTGTGTGGTCGTGTTCTGCCCATCCCTCCCTGTGGCTGTTTCCCTCTGCATTTCATCTCTCCAGAGCGCTGAGCGCCTCCTCAGTGCTGCAGAGTGGAGTTGTTGACTGTGTCTGTCGTCTGCCCACCTCCCCGCTGACCTTCGAGGTCCACAGAGCCGTTCTGTTCAGATGCATAGCAAGCACACAGGCCAGTACCTGCACTCAACTGGCCGGGATTTGAATGGAGGCATGAATGGAGGTTGGTCTGAACACTTGCTCTTTGTTGTTCTGTGTTGTTCTGCAGTTCGAGATGCTCACGGGGTCTCTGCCGTTCCAGGGGAAGGACAGGAAGGAGACCATGGCCCTCATCCTCAAGTGAGTAGGAGACACTGCCCTTGGGCTCCACCCCAGTACTTGTTAGCACCTTCTGACACCAGGGGCTTCGGTCTCCGAAACCGACTGTCCAGCCGGCGGTGGTGGTAATGCACGTTCTTGGCATTTTCATCACAGTAGGCAAAGCGAGTGGGGTCTCTGAATCCAATGAACTCTTCTATCGTAGATAGAGTTTTCCATCAGTAAAAACCGTCTCGGTTGTCCCATGGCAGCGTTCTCAGATGTGATGGTTAGTGACCTTCAGAAGCGCAAATTCAGAAGAGCACAAGGATGTCAGGGTCCCAGGAGAGCTGCCCCCTTTTTTTTCGTTAGTGATAGATTTTATTTAGCCCACTATAGCCAGCATACTGTCATTTCTGCATACAATCCATGTAAAATACTGAGTTTCCACCCTTTATTTGGTTCTACGTGTTTGGAATCAGTGTGTGTTTACAGAGCACCTACGGAACGTTTAACTGAGCTCTGAGCTCTGGCGTCAGCAGGAGGCATGTTGCCCACGTGACCAAACACACAGTTTTCTCCTTTTCTCTCGGGAAAAATCATCTACCACGTGCCGTTTTGCTCTCAGACCCTAGAAAGTCCAAAACTAGAGCCGGTCTTGCTGGAACACCTTCAGTGTGAGCGGGCTTCGTCTGAGCAGGATGTCCGAGGGAGAGCTGCAGGAAGAGAATAGGGGACGAGAGGGCGCCCGGGAGGGGGTGTGGCCCTGGAAACAGGCCGCATGAGCTCGGGTCCCCGCCTCCGGGCTGAGCTGGGGTGGACTCCCCCCCCCAGGAGACACCACCGCACTGTGTCCTCACAACCAGCTCCCCAGCTCTTCTTGCCAATGGACGCATCAGTTTTGTAAAACCGAGAGGTGCCTAAAAAGCTTTTATTTTTGGAGATCACGTCATTATATAAAAGGAAGGAGAGGGATGAGGGACGGCACCCTGCAGACAGGATTTAAGCAGGTTTCCTGCATCACGCGACCTTGCATTGCCAGCGACCTGGGCAGCCTCGATCTGCTGAGGTTTCCTTGACGGTCTCTGTTCCTTGTTTTAATTTTAAGGGGGAACAAGACCTTTTTCTGATGCTAGAATAATTCTCTCCAGCAGATCCCAGGTGTGAACTTGTGACCTGTCGTCTGGGAGTGACAGAGAACTTCCGAAGGGGCAGCACCCAGCTGTGGTCAAGTGGTTCCCAAAGGGAGGTCCCAGACCCCGGGGGCTTTCCGGGCCCTCCTGTCCCAGATGCTCTCAGTAGCATTGTCACAGACTCAGCCAGAGGCAGGTGACAGAATCCAGCTGTCTCAACAAGCCAAGAGGAGAGTCCTCAAATGAGAACGATGCCCTCACCTCACCAAAGCCTTTTTAAAAATTTGTTTTAATTGAAGTACAGTCAGTTACAATGTGTCAATTTCTGGTGCACAGCACAGTGTCCCAGCCTTGCATGTCCATATCTGTATTCATTTTCATGTTCTTTTTCATTGAAGGTTGTTACAAGATATTGAATATTGTTCCCTGTGCTATACAAAAAAACTTGGTTTTTTAATCTATTTTTACTTATAGCGGTTAGCCTTTGCAAATTTCAAACTCCCAGATTTATTCCTTCCCACCCTCTTTCCCCAGGTAACCACAGACTATGTCTGCCTGTTTTTGTTGTTGTCTTGGAAAACATAGTTAATTTCCATTTAAAATGTCATTTATATTTGTGGCATTGTTACTGGTTCTTTTTAGCGGCTGCATTTTTTTTAATGAGTTACGAAGTGGCTGCTGTACACAGCCGCTCTGCGTCACGTCGACTGGACTTGGCTTGTCTGGGACGCCAGGAGCACACGGCTCCCAAGAAACCCTGGGCCCTTTGGGGCTCGCCTTCCTCCCCTGACATGCGACTGTGTTTTACAGAGCCAAGCTGGGCATGCCGCAGTTCCTCAGCACGGAGGCCCAGAGCCTGCTGAGAGCCCTCTTCAAACGGAACCCCTGCAACCGACTGGGTAAGACCCCCAACCCCCGAGCCCCCCAGCCGCCCAGCCGCCCAGACTCAGCTCTTGTCTGGCCGCGTGCGTCTCTGCATCCATGGAGAGCGGGGCGGAAATTTCATCGCGTGTCGCCGGACTGTGCGGTGTGCCAGAAGTCACTGTTTTCACACAGAATGGTGGCGTGCACTTCTGGAACTCCATGAGCTAGGGACAGAACCACTGAGATGCTGCTTTTAGTTGAACCCCGCTTCAGCTGAGCAGCCTCAGCATGCGTTACAGTTGGGATCGACCTGACTGTTCACTAAGTACTAACTCGCTTTCAGAATAATCCTTTACGACAAGGTTTCCGGTAGGCTCCCTTCAGCGGCAGTCCTCCTGCCGGCGCAACTGGATCTTCAAACCCCTCCCCCCCGCAAGTGACGCATCCACTGAGATCTTTGTCCACCTGCTCATGTTCTTTCCTCCCACAACCCGGGGAAGAAGCCGTCACTGCCCCTGGTGTTTCCGTGTGGAGGGTGGTCAGGAGCAGGAAGTGAGGACGTGAACTCACCAGAGGTCGGGTAGGGTCCCCGCAGGGGAAAACCCCCCCGCCCCCATGAGGGGCTGGAAACACAGCTGAAACCACAAGGCACCTTTTTTCTGCCACAATGGTGGCAGATACCGTAGCGATCGGGACCGCCCAGGACCGTACAGGTGCGGGCCTGCCCAGCCACTGTCACTGAGAGCAAGTCGGTGCAACGTTTTTGGGACTTTGGCAAAACCCAATAAAATTTTAAATTGTATACACCCTCTTACCAAAAAATTTTACTTCTAAAGTCTCTCCAACAGGAAAATCTCTGCCGGCACGTAGGTTATGTGTGTAGGAAATGCCTGTTGACCTGTTAGCCAAGACCTGGAGACAGGTAGATGTCAGTCAAGAAGGAAACTTTATAAATAGACCATGTTGCATCCTTACCAGGCCTGCGGGCCAGCTGTGTGATGGGACTGGCCGTGGCGGGGCCCTCCCTGTGGCGCCTCTGCCGTCCTGGCGGGGCGGTTCTTTCTGGTCTCCACCCCCAGAGGCCAGCGGCACCTCCCTCCCGGAGCTGCAGCAGCTGCAACTGCCCCAGACCTGCCCCTGGGGGCAAGCCCCCTGGTGAGACCCCTGCCCTGAGGCCCTGGGAGGAGACGCCGGGCTCTGTGTGAGTTGCTGCAGAGTCTGAGCGCATCCCAGGCTGGGACCTGCACCCATTTCACCCCAGAGCAGGTCCCCGCAAGCGCCCCGGAGAGACCCACGTGGGCCCCAGCCCCGAACGCCCCAGCCCCGCACAGGACTCGTGGCAGTGTCGGTGAAAATGACTTTTGTGGAGGGAGTTTGATGAAAACTCGCCAGCCTGGTCACAGCACGAGCTTCCTGGGCTGCCCGGCTGCCCTAAAGAGAGCCGTAGGGCCTGGCCCTGAGCGCAGAGACAGCTTCCCTGCAGGGAGGGGAAGGCGAGGCCCTCCCACCTTCCAGAGGGCAGCGCGGAGGCCGGGAGCCCCGAGGTCCGGGGTGGGGGCGACACTTGCGAGTGGGCTGACGCCATGATGTGAGCTGGATTTGTGATTCGGAGGAACCTTGAGGCTGAACAGCTTCCTTCACTTCGCTGTTACTGGGACCCCTCGGCAGAGCCCCAGATGGGACCGCAGGCCCCTGCCGAGGATCATCCGTGCCCCTCCTTCGCGTGGCCCAGCCCAGGCAAGGCCAGGACCTCGGTGCTAGGAGATGCTCGCACCCCACACCCTTCCTTCAGGACTCGGCCTGCCGCTGCCCTCATTTAAACCTGTGTCTCCGTAAACAAGCACGTTTCCAGAGAGCAGCAAAGGCTCACCTGAGGGTGGGGTCATGGGGCGATGGGAGACCTCAGCCCGAGGAGCTTACGGGGACAGGCGGCAACGGGCACGGGCACCGTTGGCCCTGAGACTGCTGCCTCACTGCAGTTTGATCAGATCCAGTGTGGCCTGGCCCGGGCCTCCGGAGGTGCAGACACCCAGACTCAGCTCTGAGCTTTCCCAGGACGTGGACGAGCATCTCTCCTCTCAGGAGCACATTTGAGGCGTAGACTCAAACAGTAAACATGTCCTGCGATTATGTCTACGCCTCGCCACTCCCTCTAATTTGTCTCTGAATGTCACACAAAGATTGAAATTGGTCGCCCAGTTCAGATCTGGATCCTGCTTTAATTGATTACCTTTCATTAATGTCTCCATCAGTGCAAGAGAGACGCTGAAATAAGCCCTCCCAGTCCAAGGTCAGCTTGCCATTCAGCTCAGCAGATTCTTTTTTTTTTTACTTTTA